TTTGAAAATTACTAAAAGAATTGCTTCATTGTCCACATGCTGACAAACTAACTGTATACTAAAAGAATCGTATGTCTTTAAGAGTCCTACTCTTCCTCTGTCCTGCTACGATGCAGGGCTTGCTGGTGTCCATGCAGGGCATCTCCACACAGTTCTCCAGTCGCCCACTGGGACCACAGCTGCACACCTCAAAGCAAACCGTGGGATCAGTGCGCGTAGGCACTTGGATACGAGCATCCTGTTGCACCAAGAACTCAGAGGCTTCACCCATTTTGCAGCCTGAAAACATAAAAACAGACTTCAGCCTCTTGAATGTGAATAATGTGAAGCTGCAGAAACTGTAGTTCACCTTACCTGGCACACAGAGGTACGGCTGACAGTTTAGCTCATCCAGGCAGCCCTTCCTGTTCACCTGGCATATGTGGTTGCTCGGACAGGGGTTAGGATTGCATGGATGGATAACCTCCTCAACAGTGTTGCTGCCCAGGGAGCTGGGTGCTTGATGGTGTGTGGGAAAGGAAAGTACCATTAATGCTTCCTGTTTTTAAGAATGTGAATGTGTGTTTTCAAGAGAAAAGTCTCATCAGGAGAAAAGAGACCTAATGCAAACTCTAATATGTAGCATATAGAGGCTCGATGTGCAGCCCTTAGTCCTGTGTAGTGGAAAGTCAGTTCCAGCTGACTCTGTCTTTCCATTAAATAGGACACATGTGCTTGTTCATCAGATCATTCAGTAACTGTTGTTGTAAAAACGGTCTAAATGAACTTCAAATTAAAAGCTGAAACTATTAGAGACCATGTTTGGCATGAACTGGAAGCTCTAACATCCATGATTTGGGAGTAGGAGCCAAAGACTGACAAAACAACTACAGGAAATTGCTGCACATCCTACTGTGCATGTGTACAGTGTATGCTTTTTTATTGTATAAAGCAACACATCAAAACTAGCCTTAAGCTGAAGGTAATTAAAGAAAAAAAGCAACTCAGTCATCGTGGCTGCTGGTAGCGTTAGGGGCACAGACGCTGACTAACAGGCAGCATCAGTTCATCTTTCATCATCATTTCTGTTAAGAATAACTGAACTACACTATTAGCTTGGCTAATGTTCCCAGTGTGCAGCCAAATAATAACAATAATTAAAATAATAATAATGATGATGATGATAATAACTCCCAGTTTCTTGTTTTCAGTGCATTACCGTGGCAACAGGAAACAGCGACACAGAAAATGTCAAACACTAGTGACTGTAATCACTGAGCATTGGATCAGGATGCTAATATTTCTTTAAGTCTGCTGTGTTACAAGCTGCAATGTGTTTGCTAAAATGTTATTCAAAACAACATTGTAGGATTACTGTATCCATCAGCTTCTGAGCATCTGTGCTCTGCTGCCCTCTAGTGGCAAACTCAATTGATTTTTAAAATCTTTTGTTATTGAATTACAAGACTGCATCTGTTGCATTTACAGCTGATCCCTCCTGTTTCTCTATAATGCAAACAAACGCTGGAGTAACCTGACTCACTAAGGTATCTGTAGAGAGGGATGCAGTGTTCAGGGTCATCAATGGGCGACAGGAGCTCACAGATCCTCTCTGGTGTTTGTCCTTCGTGGAAACGTTTTGTATCTCCACACTGGGTCAGGATATCCACACAATCTGATCTGAAGACAGATAAAACAAATAGAACAGCTGGTATGCACAAGATAAGAAAAGACAACAATACTTTATTTGTTC